ATCTGAAAAAAGAATAAGAAGTGGGAGATTAATTGTACCGAATTATCGTGGATTACTTACAGGTACGGATGTCGGAACTTTCTCCGAAAAAACTACATACACAGATGAAAACCCCTCTCAAGAAAACGAAGAGGAAGCAACGACCGAGGATTCTTTTGAAAATCGCTCCCAAGGAAATGATGAGAAAAGAACTATTCAAGATAATATTGTAAGTAGTTATCTAATAATGTACTTTAAACCAACAGATGCTTAACACTGATTTTTTTCTACCAGATAACAGACATCTTAGGAAATACTGAACTCTCAGACGCATCAAAAGAGATTTTTACGATTTATAAAGCGCAATACCCTGATGGTGATCTAATTGACCTCCGACTAAAATCGCCCTTTTTAAAAGAACTTTCAAGACAAATAGCAACATTGTATCTAACGGAAATGGATACCATGACAGAGACGTTGGTCCCCGCAAATGTTCATGAATTCCTTGTAAAATTTTTTTCACAAAACTTAACAACCGAGGAGTGGAATTCCCAAATCGATGATTTAAAAGCACCAGAAAAAGATGATTTCGTAATGAATGCAGTGGTACGAGTTTTACGTCGTACATTGCCACAATTGTATGTAGGCATTATCATTATATTGATTTATTTTTTCAGATTCTGTTCTGAATATTTCTTTCTTTTGTGTAGCATTAAGGCATTTTCACTCGAAGAACAGAACCCACTTTTAAATATTGCCACAATAGAACATGCGCATCTTAATGATTTCGTTCACCCGTGTCTTGACGCTTCTTTATGGTACATTGCTGGTATACACTATGAATTCGGCGAGATAACGTCGAAAAATCACACTAATGGTAATCGAGCTGATGGAGTTGGTTACATGACGGATGCTGACAAGCATCAGCTCATTTATGTTGAAGGCTCGAGACCAGTAACAAAAGATAAAAAGGAAACTGATGACGTCAAAAAAAAAAACAGATAATTTAAAGAATATATTCGCGAATATTGTAAAGGAAACCATCAAAAGCAGGCAATGTTTACCAAAGAAGTTGTATGTATTCGGTGGCCAAAGTTTTCGTCTTCGGATATATTTATATTTTCTTGATTATTGTGGTATGTGTTTTCTTCTATTGAAAAATTACACTGTAAGAATGTACTGATGATTTGTTACTAAATATTAATTCAGGAACATATCGATTAAACGAGATTGATAATGCCAATCTTCCTCGGAAATTTTCTGAAATGAAAAATTTCGTTTATTTCTATGAAAGTGTATTGAAAATGTCGGTATGTATTAATGTGGATTTACGTTATGATATTAAACTTCCACTAATCTTATGTATTTATAAATTTAGCTATTGGTTCGTGATGTTACAGCATCCTTTGATGATGCAAGAGCTGAACAAAGACCTTCGCGACTTTCGTACGCAAACGCTCTTCTCCAGTTGGATTGATCTTTATTGATGTTAAAAATGGTTGTAATATGTGGGCATCTTGGACTGATTCGAAAATATTGATCTTACATAAATTATGAATACAATAATTTCATTGATATATTTCTCTTTGCAGTTCATAATAAACAATCATATAATAAAAACAATAAAAGCTTTTTCAGTTGATTAAAAAGTGATTTTTCTATACTGTAATACCTAACAATTAGCATTTAAAGTTTCAAGTTTATTTAATGAGACCCAATTCTCGAGACTAACTATATATGGGTAATCGTAGTACCAAACATACCTTAAAGCAATCCAATTCTCTTCGCATAATTCTTTCTTGAGTTGATCCCGTGCTTGCTGTTTGATGAAATATTGGGATCTCCTCTATGAAAGAATTCGATATATTTTTCGTGTTGTTGACCATATTCCGGGGTACTTCATCAGGGGGTACTTTGATCTGTGTAAAGTACCCTATCAAAGATAAAGAAAATAGGGATATGCTTGACGTGACCAATGATATTGCTGATGTTTATGAAGAGGATACCAATACAGTATTTGAAAATGTGTGGTAGGCTGATAAATTCATATTGCCTTTAACAATTCACACTCTCCTAAAATATTTTCTAGCACATTCGGTATATTACAATAAAATAAACATGAATAGTTTATATGGAATTATCCGTTTATAATACCCGGGTCTTTTAGTATTAGTATTAGTACTTTATCCGTGTGTAACGCTTAACTTTTTCTCCCTTTCCAAATTTGGGTTGGATATCTAGTTTAAGTAATACAAATTGGCTCATCAAAAAAGGAATGCATAAAAAAAAAGACGCCACACGTATTCAATTATGTCAACTCCTTACAGAAAACACCAGCTCTAGAACTTGAGACTCTTCAAGTATAGTGCTTGTTGAAGTAGCAGCAGAGACTAGATATTAAATGGTTTGGTTTTTTTTTTCGCTCTCGGCAGATCATCTACGCATTTAGTTACAGGAGGAAAATTGAGTGTTCATTTCCTGTCTAAATGGAAGTGGGACAAATTTGGGAACAAAAAATAAAAAGGACTTGAACGATTTGATTTCTATTTGGACGTTTATCTAGCTATTCATGGTTATAGATCGACCAAAATCTGCTGTTAAATGGATGCGTTTACGTGTGTTCAATCGTACTATACGATCAGAGAAATGTAGCATGTAAATAAAAGGTGCCGATTTATTGCGGCACAAATGTGAAGGATATTCTAAATTCATCATTTTAAGGATACGAACAGGAAACAAAAGGACAATTGATCATCCGAGCTCGTGTATAAATGAAAAACGCCTGATCTGTCCAACAGTGACATATGGAACAATTGTCATGTAGATCCTTTGCAACTACCCACTTAAAGTAAAACCCAGGCGTTCAATTTTAAATAAAATGGATCAGAAGAAAATAATCGACACAAAACAGTTTCACTAACAGAAAATATATAGGTAAAAAAAAAAAAAAAAGTAACCGGACAGAGATGAAATTTAAATACGTTGCCATAATGCTTTATTGAATATGTAGAGTCGTAAATTCTCTCTGTTCTAAATTTTTTTTTGCTGTCTCGAGCGCTTGCCTTCGTACTTGTATATGTCCTCCTATTTGTTTGAGTAACTGTATGAATAAATCATAAGCGTTAAGCAGAAACACGCTCTTTTATATTGAAATTTGAGACAACAAAAGTGGCGTGCTATATGACTTGATCAAAAAGTGACATGACACTGATTGTTTAGTTACTACTTGAGATTGAAACGAATAAAAATTGAGCATCATGTCAGATTAAAAATCAGGTCATATAAACATACTAATCAACAAAATAATAGTTTGACTATAGCATAATATTTACAATGCGCAAAAAAAGTTTTTGGAATAAAATACATAACTCCATATACGCGTCTAATCAAAAAGTTAACTTATACGTTTTGTGCGTTCTATTATTGTGCATGTCACCGGCAAAAAAACTCGGTTACATAACTTTGTAACTTGCGCTATTTTTTGTTTGTTTTTCGTTTTGTTATTAAAAATACAACGACAAGAATTTTGATTGACCAACGTCGCAAGATCATAACCACTCTGTGGTACCATGAAGAGCATAGCTATAAATTTTCATGTTTGTCAGATTATTCCTCGTTGCGTAATTAATAAAAATGTTATTTCAAAAACTTTTTCGCGCACTGTATGTAACGCGATTAACGCTTACAGTATAGTAACCGACTCGTGCTTACATTACATTATTGATATATTCTTCTCCTCCACTCATTTTTCTCCATTATAGTGTTATATGTCTGATAAGTATTTTTGTTCAATAAGCGATTGGTGTTCTGACTTAATTTATGAACAAAATTTCAAACAAAAACACGTAAGTGGTGTCTACGCTTTATAAAATTAAAATTAAAATTAACAAACTAAATAAAACAATGGCGGGACAAATCTGTGGCGTTTAGCATTTTTAATTTTCTGTGGTGCCATGTTCACTTTGTCGATTCTGTTTATCGTATAATTAGTTAATAAAAAGCCATTGTTTCGATACATAATGCATTCTATACAATTAAATGTTTTTAACAAATTCTTATCGCATACTTGTGATAAAATACTCCACAACTCTAGTTTGGATTCCGCTTTCTTGAAGCAACATTGTTTAAATACCTTTATCATAAATTCGTTATCAAACGAATGGACGTAAACGTTGCATATTCGTTGAATGACAAACAGAAACAGATTTTGCATGTTCGACGGCAGCTAAAGGGTTTAACAGGAAAACATCACTTGGTAGTAAGTTTCATCGACGAAAATTTAGACAGCAAGCGTGGTAAAAGAGTTATAATTGTTCTGTACTCGTACTTGATACAGCATGTTACGTCATTTAATAAGGAATAAATTACTATCACATTCGTTTATTTCTAGCCTGTCTTTTATACAAACTTTGTTTATATCCCCAAATTATAAAAGTAGAAATTGTTAAGAAGTCGACTTGTGTGTTTCTCGAAATTTGATAACAAAGCCCTTGGTCAGTGCTATTCGCTATTCATGAGATAATGTTTACCGAGAGTTTGAATAAGATTAACGAACTCATTTACCAATTATGGTCGTCAATCAATCGATCAAAAAAAGAGACTACTAAAATGGATGGACAATGAAATCATCTGCTTGCATTATGCGGAACGATTTTGGTATCGTTTTGAAGCTATTTGATTGTACTTGTCAAAAGTAATGATGGTGTGTGGAAGGGTGGTATTTCTATAAAGCAGTAGTTCAATGAAGTCGCGGTGTATAGAAAAATGTATAATTACGTATATGTGTGTAACATTCAACTATCACTTCATCAAACTATCTGCACTGTTATACCAATGTATTTATCTCAAAAAGTACATTCAAAATGTACCAAACTTGCATAGTAAAGATTTTCATATGTTTTACTATTTGATCGACAGATCTTTTGTCAGGTGGAGTGTATAAATAGATAATCATCAATCCAATCACAATATGTTAGTCTCTTTTACTTGAGCAACATTAAACGTTACATCTATAAAATTCCATGGCGAGTAACTCGCAACTCCTTGCCGCTGCAATATCGGAGATAACCAATAACCTTACTGTTACTTATGAAGACTATCTCCTTCGTAGAAACCAAGAACCATCCAACCGTTTCAAAGAGCTCTCTATTGACGCCCTACATCAAGCGTATCTCGTCGGCGGAGCTGTGAATTGTGATGAAACAATTCGGCAATCAACTGTCGACGTCTCGCAAACTGACGACGATGATGCTCTGACAGATTTAACCACAACTCCAACTGTACCTCCAGTAGCTAGTCCTGCGTCGCCACCCATATCCAACGACCCGCCTGTAAATATCCATGTTCGCACTTTGACCGGGGCAAATATTACTATTTATACTCCGTTATCGACCTCTATTGCGTATTTTAAGCAATTGGTAGAGCAGAAGACTGGAGTATCTTCTCAGCAGCAGCGGATCATCTTTGCTGGGAAACAGTTGGATGATGATAGAACTTTAGTGTCTTATAAAATAGAAGAGGACTACTCCCTTCATATGGTTCCGAGATTGTCTGCTGCCCCGCAAACGATAAATTATATTCATGCCGATCACCTCGATCCTCCATACGATTTTGATTTCACTAATACTGTTGATACTTATCGTAAATTCATGCGTGGAGCTTATGAATACAAGCGTCCTTGTGGTTGGAAGCGAATTGCGTTGAAAGTACTTAATGCTTATGGATCGGACAATACATGGTTAGGAATTACTACTACTCGTGGATTCAGATACGAGTCCAATGCAACCGAATGGCCAGTCTCATATCATGGGACTGGGAAGTTTGAGGATAGAACTATTTCCGAGGATGCTCACCAAGCCTGTGTGGATAAGAATAAGCAATTCAATTTTGGACATGGAATATACACGACTCCTGACCCAGAAGTAGCCGAAAAGTACGCAAAAGTGTTTGAGTTTGAAGGTGTAGAGTATAAAGTCTTGATACAGAATAGAGTTAATCCAAATACGCTGGTGAGAATTACCAAAGAGGAGAGTGGGGTGGCAGAGTATTGGATTGTGCCTAATGGACAGGATGTTAGGCCATATGGCATCTGTGTCAAGAAGGTATCGTAAAGAATGACAATGACAGTGAGAATTAACTGATTAAACTATGACATATTTGGACGACAGAATACACTTACAACATCATAATCCTTTGACAAATAAGTCTGGTACTTTGGTTGAAATGCGTGAACAGAGTTGGCAAAGGATGCTGCCTATTAATTATTTATTGGTTATAGAGGGGCGTGGGTGGGTATTGCATGATGACGTGTATCTATATTGGAAATAAAGCATTACGAAATTACTGGGTAAAACCATTCGATGTACGGATTTTTTTGAACATTCGCATTAATTTGAAAGATCGTATGTAATCCTTATAACGATATTCGAGTTGACCGTTAAGGTTTTTATAACAAGAGTCGGATTTAGCTACTACTATTAGAATCTCTTTCCAAGCAATTCCACATTTTTCGTGCCTTGTTTCTTCATCTACCATGAAGAAGGAACTTCTACTTTTAGGTTGAAGGGAAAAAATAATTGATAACGTGAATCACGTGCTTATAATCCCGACTTAATTGCGCGCACAAATTTTCATGAGCCTATGAACGTGAATGTCACGTAAATTCATTATGATGTCAAACAGAATTGCGCGTCTAGTCAAATCTTGAAACGATATACGAGTTCTTAGTGCACAAGGTTATCAAACCAGACAACAGAGCATTCTCAAGACTTGGTTAATTGGAATCACGGTTAAGTAAATATGCAACAGCAATTGGGGCACTATGAAGTAATGAGAGAGTTCACCAGCTGAAATATCTGAGTCACTTGTAATTTCAATACATCCACCTCCATTAAACATTTTAATCGATTATTCACATATATTGGTTTACCGAGACTGATACATTTTCTGAATTTGAGCTTACATCATCTGAGCCATACCAAAAGATAAAAAATATAAAGCGCTTACACGCTTGGTTTCCTTCGCTCTGCCTCGAGCCGGCTATACAACAAATATAGTGCCATCTGATTCGACTCTGGCGTGCCCGTAATTGTCACCAATCGCTCATTAGTATTTCCGTGAGGTTCTGCAATCTTGATATGTGAGCCTGACAATTGCCTAATTTCGTTGATTTTACTTCCACCCTTACCAATAATACACCCAACCATATCGTTCGGAATAAAAATTTGCTGTGCCTGCGATCCCGGTGGCGGTTGATTCATCGGTGCAGGCGGTCCAGGAATGAAGTCTCTCCCGTAGGGAGGCGGTGGCGCTGAGAGCACACCGTAAAATGGATGTTGTCCCGTTACAGGACTATGCTGATACATTACCCGTGGTTGAGGTCTGTACGGAGTAATCCCGGCTGTGCGATCATTTGCATGTTTTGCAAGTTCTTCACCAACATGATATACTGCTATGTGGATGGAATCGGGTACTCCGGTGATCGAAATCGTGCGCTCAGTTGATTGCGGAAGCATTTCTTCCGATGCTAAACACCGAGCTCCGGATTTTTCTTGAATTTCTTTAATTTTGGATCCACCTTTTCCGATTACTGGACCCATTCGGGAATGTGGTACAAGTAAACGGATTGTTGTGGATTTTGACTGTGGTGTAGATGGAGCATCCAGGCTTTCATCTAAAACTTTACGAGCGACCAATGCAAAGGCCTGGGCAATGGGAGGTGAGTAGGGAATAAATGGGTAAGTAATTAAAATTTTTGATAAAATTTCGCGATAAATAAGTATTGATGGTTAAAAGTAACGAATTCTACTCCACTTGGTCGTTAACAAGAAAAAAACGGAACGTGTTCTTGAAGTGTTCCAAAAGCATGGAAATACGTGTAGATTCTCAAGAAGTAAAATATGCCCTTTACCATGCCGCGGCCTAATTGTGGATAGACATTCCAATCTTCTCCAATACGGCTCAAAGAAATGCTTTCATAGAAAATTTTCACTCTAATCACGCCGTGTCATATTAATATCTCCAAACTCCAACAACTTACCTTAGCAACAGTATCCAATGGTCCAGTAACAGTTAAAATCCTCTCGTATGCACCTTGAACCATCTCCGATATAGTGACTTTAGCCCCGGATCTATCCCTAATCTCACTAACATTCTTCCCACCTTTTCCAATAATGACACCAGCTTCTTTGGTGGTTACCAAGGCTCTAAGACTTATTTGCTGCTGTACAATTTCTTGCTCGTTTTTGATAAGCTTGTCTTTGCTGTCTGGAGATTTATTCTCGCTGGTTTCAATAGCCTCGGCAGATCTTGTAGGGGACGCACCAATGTGGTCTTCCGGCTCTATTTTCACGTCTACTTGTGTCTGTTCTTCAATATCATCCTCTGCTCCAGAGCTGTTGAGTGCAGGTCTTTTGAAACGACCGCGGCCTTCGTCTATACTCGAGTCTTCTCCTTCATCGTCTGAAGGGAGTGAGCGTTTGCGTTCGGAAGGAGAGGGAACGGGGTCCTCGACGCGATCAGACATTGGTTAGGAGTATGGTGGGAAGAGGAAGGAAGGAGAGTGTGAGAGTTTGTATTGACTGCTTGTTAGGTTGGTTGATAGATTGAGGGTTGGGATCGGGGTTTGGGAATTGAGACTATGGTGAATAGGAGGGAAGGGAAAAGGGAGGAGGAGGGGAGAAGTAAAGGTAAGTGTGGTTGGGTTTTGTAAAACGATATAGATGAATGTTTTGGTTTATATTTAGTTGCTATGGAAATGAGGAGTGGTGATGCTATGGTTTGAAGGCTGTTGGTTATTAATTTATGTGGACATCAGCAAGTACAGTCGCGAGCTCTATATTATGTATTATCAATTATATTATATTATGTGTATCAAGTATTACGTGCTTTGTTCTCTATTCTCGCGAAGAGCAGTAACCTTGTAATTATTGCTATGAGAATAGAGTACTTGGCAATGTTCATATTATTCTCCTCCATAGCGAGAGAGTATGTCGTGCGAGAGAACGAGAAAACAAAAAAAGTAGGATAACAGTGTAAGAGTGTGACGGTACCAAAGGAGTTCTGAATAGAGTGGGATGTTATGTGATAGGGGTATGTTAGTTCTCGTGGGTAAATGTTTCTGTTCTTCTGTTCTTCAGTGTGTAGTTGGGTTCTTCTGTCAGATGAATAGTTCTTTTAGATCTTTTAGTTTGTGAAAAACAGCTCAGTAGCGTTTGACCGAACGAGAAATTTCTTACCCGACGTTTGACAATGATGCAGGACTACCCCCCACCCCCTACGTTGATGGTAATCATAACAGTAATAGGTTCAATTGATCGGAACACTGGAAAAGATTGTTCGGAACCCCCATTTCGGTGAAGTCAAAGCACATTAGGTAATAATGAACAAATGTCTCTTATCTGTTAGCATTTAAACCTTTGTTTCTGTTACTGTCTGTTACACGGGCCGCGTAGCATTGTATAATTCCATTTGTTTCGAACTTTCTTTTTCAATGACATGTTTTCTGTATTGTAAAGACAAGACATGAAACTTCGGTGATCGCAGTCCGCAAGCCCGACGCTTTACTTTGTTTCATCAATGACAATTGTGATGTGGTTTGTTGTACTTGCGCATTATTACTATTGCCAATTGTCGCAATTGACTTTCGTTAGTTTACTTGATAAGTTTGGTCATTGTTCTGAAACATGATCGTTGTATTCTTATGTCATCGTCGTATAAATGCTTAATTAGGCAAGACAAATGCAAACTAAGTTTATTGACCTTAATCACAAATGCATATATCGTCCTCCCCAATGCATAGAGCATGCCAAGACAGTGGACAAGAATTTTCTTCACGCCACATCCAAGTCTGGAACTGACCCAACAGAATGCCTATGCTTTTTAGAGAAATGATCAGAATTACAGTTCGGAGCAGTAAAGAGAGTAAAGGCCATATTCTAATTGGTCACAAAGTGATATATTACTCCATTCCAAATTTGTCAAGTCTTTGCGTGTAGAACATCCGGTTCTGTCCGCTTCCGGGACTTTTGCATTTTCAATTTCTATGGGGATTATTCTGCCACGTTCTGCTCAGTACTTTTTGCATAATTCGGCAAACGGTTTCATGACTAATGTTGATTCCCCCCCCCCCCCCCTATGATTGCAAGGCGTTAATAATACAACGATCAACATTGCAGACGGAAACAACGGACTTGAAGAGGGAGTTATTCATGGACAAAGAAACAAGAATATGCATAAACATTGGGAATTTTAATGGTTGTTTAGGACTTGTTATTAAGAAATAGTACGAAGCAACTCTGGTGGGAAACCGCAAACTTAGCCCTTCCGACTAATGCTAAGAAATGCTAAAGCACGTGGTTATAAGTTAGAGGTTTTATTTGTAGCGTAATACTTTCTGCAAGGTAAATGCAATAAACTCAGACTTGTTAAATTAATCCGTTAAAAATATAAATTTAAAGGGGGGAAGTTTGAAAATGTACTAATAAGAGAACTCTATGCGTATTATAATAACAGTTTTATTGAAATTATCAAATTTAATCAATCATCAATATCAAAATATTAATACTTAGTAATGTACCCAATTTTATTTACAGTAGTCAATAAAATTAATCAGTATGAGAATATTAATATTGTGTATTGACAAAAAAGTGATAGCAGATAAATAAATATAATTGGAACAACAATAAATATTTGGTAATCTCATCTTTGTTAGAACATTAGGAAACTAGTGTAATCATTACTTGCTGGTACTGTATTTACTAACCATTTTGCATTTTTGAGTTACACTATTGAGCTTATGATATTTCAATTAGAAAGTTTACTATTTTTTTAATTAATGCTTTTGACATATCTTCAACTTGGTCACCACAGTTTAGGTTTAGGACTTCTAATGAATTATTTAAATTTAAATTTTGGTTGTTGTTTTTTTTTTCCAGCAAATTTGTGAGAGTGTTTGTGATTTATATCCTATCTATAAAAGTTAAAGTAAAAGACTTAATAACTTGCGAACGATTTGTAGGAAGAATTATCTTCAGACGGTTATAACCGGCATACTAATACAGACATTCATAATGCAACTTTTGTTGAAAATGTGTTTATAAAGAGGTTGTGACAATGGAGAGAGTTTTGTCTATAAGTTCAATAGCAATTGATTCTCAAACATAAAGAGGTTTTATATGATGTGCTTATAATATATAAAGGGAAAACTATATATATAAGGAGGGTTGACTGTATTGTAATAAATTGGCCTTATAATTTCTATACTAAAATGCGTTTAAATCCTGTTGATAATAGAAACTTTATAATATTGGGATTTATTGAGTATAAGCAATTTTAGTTTTTAAAATAATATTTATTTGCCTATTAAGTACAAAGGCAAACTCGTTATAACGAAGCACTAAGTGATACCCCGTTATACCGAAGATAGAGTCAAAACTAGTAATAGCGATTTTACCCCGTTAAACCGAATTTACTATGTAAACTTCGTTTAAACCGAATTTTCTACTATAGCACCGCCCTCTTTGTTATAACGAGGTTCACTTTGTATAACAAAATAATTGTTTTAATGCAAATAATTAATATGTATACAAAGTGTTATATTAACAAAGAATGAAACTTCATTACTAATAATAGTACATATGTTTAGTAAAACCTGACAATAATAAAGACATCCCTGTGATTTTTTCTCTCCAAGTTAGAATTTGTAAAAAGAAATAAAATAATTTCATGCATTGATACTGTGTTATTACAGCACTGTGCATATTTTATGTTAAGGTTCTATTCTAATTATTCCTGATAAAACATTAGTCGATTCAAACAAAACCCGTTAGAAGAAACCTTTGATATAAGAAATATGGCCTATACAGAAGATTTTTGCTGGATCTGATTTAACATCTTCAAACTAATGACTCTCGTTATAAAAGATTTTTGATATAAGAGAGTATTTGGTCCGACCCGACGACTTTTTTATAATGGGCTTACTTGTTATTAATAATATTATTGGTTAAATATTTAATCTTAATGATAAGATTGAAGAATTTCTCAAACTTGCACAATTAGATTTTTAAAAATTGACCATTTACTGATGACAGCCTGGATTTTTTATTTCAGAATTTCCTGTATGCATTCACTGCCAAAGCTGCCAAAGTTTTACTTGTAAAATCAAAGACATCGACAAACTAATCTATTATTTTTGCATAAAATAAGAATAAATTGTCAACCCTGTCACATGACTTTTTATTGTGCGCGGAGGTTTACAGGAAATGCAATTCTGCTTACAAGGATTTTCCGGCAATGTCAAATTCAGCTTGCATGCGTTATTGTAATATGGAGTGTTTGTTAGAATTAAGATCGTTAATTAACATTCATTGATACTTTAAATTTATATACTTGCAAAGTAATACTGTTATTGATGACAAGAGTTCATTATTTTCTATAATATGGGCAAGGTTTTAAAATAGTACGTGACTCTGGCTTTATTGAAAGTCATATGATAATAGTGACACGTATAAAAATCGGATGTAAGCGTTATACCATGATAAATGTATGTACAGTATATTTGTTTGCCCAATGCTGCTTTATTAATTTCTCTATTTTTGAATACATTATCTTTACATAACCTACAGTATGCATAGTAAGCAAATTGTAATTCAATCCCTTCTTTTCTGTACGGCCGATGTTTAACCGACTTACTTAGATACAGTCTAACTCTTGGGGCCGCCCTTGTGTAAATGGAGCTTAATGACTAAATATAAATCGTTTATTTTGGAAAAATAATAGGATTGGTGAGACGGTCATACATGTGACCACCTGACAGTCCTACCTTTCAAGTCTTTATGATGCGTGTATTCCAAATCGACTTGCACAATACCGACAAAGATACAGTGTCGGATACTGTAGCTACTGTTCTATAGTAATTATCTAATTATTGAAAGTATCTTAGATTAAATGTGGGTGGAGGTGTTTATTCAACTTGCGGAATTTTTGAAATAAGTTTAGCTCCTTATCATTAATAGTTTAGTTCTTTACCCAAAAAGTTTTGCTACAACATCGACTGACAATATCGATTGTCCGGGAAAGCAGGAGAACAAACCCCCGAATAGGGGGGAAAGCTGTTGACAGAACTTCGATTGGTTCCCCCATTCAAAATTAATCCAGATTAAGACATAAACGCTGGACCTGCATAGTCCGTTCGGTCAATAAATATCACGTGATATCACTCGTTGTGTTATACGCCATTATGCATTAGAGCCGTTACTCCGACAAGCCTCCACCTATTATGGACCTATTATGGGCCTATTGTTGTCGGGATTGTAGAAAATCATATGTATAGAATGGCTTATTGAATGATATCATCACACATTTCTTTCTTTTCCACTATAAAGACGTGTGATAGAATGTAACACAAGGAAGCGGTGCCATTGCTGTGCAGACACCCGTGAATGATCTGGGGTCTTTGTCATACAGTTATTTGAATGATTGAATGATCGATATCAATATTTGGAGGTGATCTTCATTTCTTTCAGGTCCAATCAACAGTTTATCCGTAAAAAATTTTTTACAATACACTGTAAAACTGTATTACTATTAGTCGGAAGATATCTTTCCCTATCGGTCACTCCTGGCTATGGTTTAATCGCGCGATAATGTCGGGTGTAGACTGTAGGTTTGAACGATATATATTCGGACGTAAATGTCGACTCATTTACATTATGCAAGGGATAGATATATGATCACAGAATGAGCTTTGAAAAGGTTTTTGTGTAAACATTCAAACATAGCTACAAGTTGGTTCGTGATACCGCTTTCTAAATGACACCAGCTAGGGCCTGTCGTCTCATTCTCTGGGTCTCGAGTTAGCAATGAGAAGGAATCGAAATGATCATACGTTCCTTTCGTTGTCACGTTGTGGCATGACTCCTAATTACAGTGAAAGCAGTAGTCAAAATCGATAATAACTCGTTTCCTTTGACACTGTCATACAATTAAATATCTATTCAGCGACACTACGAAGAATTAATAAAACTAGTGCTATATGATCTTAATTCCATAATAATCGCCCAACGTGAATTTGATTTTTTGTAACGATTACGTAACAAGCACAGCGGCTTTATGGTTTAACAAACACTTTCGTCATAACCTCTTTTGGAAATTTGAAGGGCGTTTTCCAAATATAATGCCGAGTCTCGAACATTATGGCTGCGATGGAGCACAAAGTCTGTGTGGGCAAGGCCAACCTGTGACCAAGTCTGTGAAGTCTTTTATTTAAAGTTGTTTGGAATATACACTCAAGATTAAGCTTGTTGTTCTGTTAAAATTGTAATAAGACTAAATAAAAGTGTTATTGAAATTTGTGTGTAAGGTTAATAATATTGCGACAGACAAGATTTAATTGCACAGCTTGTATATTTACCTGTGTTGAATTGTCTGAAACAGGATCCCATCTAATCTGCTATTTTATTCATATGAAAATGGGATTCATCAATTACGCCATATGAATAAACTTGTCAATCGGACGTCATTGTATACAAACCTATAAATCAATACTTAATAACTACAAAATATTAACCGAATATTAATCACATACTAATTTCCATTATCTACGACATAAACTAAAAAGGAATAGTAACAAACAAAACTGCTTACCAATTTCTATTGTTAATTTCAAAAGTGTCAACTCACGTGATATCCAATTCAGAGTACTTTATCCTTCTAGTTCAATTATCATATTAATGTATTAGTATTAGCGAGACCGTCATAATGTTCACAGTCTAATCAAGTTAACAAATAACGCCTACCAATTATTGTAATTATACGGTTGAGAACTTTCGGAGATTACTTGCGGATTGCCGACCCGCATTGACATATTTACTTGTACTCACAAACAACAGTCCATTATTCCGTGTTTTATAGCAACACAATTACATCATAACTTTCCATATCAATCATTTACGCCACTGTGAGAGTATTGAATCTAGTTTATCGCATCTTGTCAATTCATCATTCAATTTATTGCACATTTCCGTACACACTTTACTATGTTAGATGCTCTCATGCACGAAAGTTCAAGAATAGATAATTCACAATGTCCATAGACTTCTTTCAAACATTCGCAGTTCAATCTTACGACGCTAAGATTGTCACGTGATATATCTCGTACAAATAGAAATACCATAATAACAAAGCCCAAAAAACCCCCCAAGATAAAAATACAAACGAATTCGTAAACTACACAAGAGTCCATAATATCTCTAGATCTCTAATATTGATCTACTAAAGCAAACGATAAAATAAAAGACAAAAGAAACTGTACACTTTATATATAATAAAAAAAAAAAAAGAACGAGAGATAGATAATAATACAATGAGAATGTCCTGCATTACCATAATTTCCATAATATCACATGACATCACCCGTCGCCAATGCTCCAATAGTCCCTCTCTCTTACTCCCAACGCTTCAACAAGTCGACAAACTCGTCCTTCATCCTCCTGACAACACGTCTGACCTCATCTTCTCTTTGTCTCACAACGTTCTCAAGCATATCGATTCTCTTCTGTCTATCCTCCAACATTGTTACTGCTCTAACCAATCTCTCATGAAACACCGTAGCAAGTTCCTTTGCATCACAGTTAGCAGGTGACAAGAGTAGCTCACTGTATGAAATCTGAGGAAGTGGAGACATTGCGCTTAAAGGATTCAATGGATTGCTCGGGCCCATAGAACTTTGATTAGACATATTCGTTAATATGTGTCCTGCCATATTTGAAGTGTTGACGTTATTGTTTGTGTTTTGGTTAGCGTTGCGTGATTCGTCAGGCCACCAGTCGTTGGATGAATTCTTTCTAGATTGCTGTGGAGTGGGCTGAGCGGTTGTTTTCAAACGAAATATATCATAGTGACCACCACCAAAGTCTAGCGTTTTTCGGCGTTTCTGTATGGTAGGGGGGTGGGAGGAAAGGGGGAAATTGTATCGGTTAGCTAAATGTTTTAATGACTGCAAGTGGTAATAACGGTAGATCGGAAGGGTGAGGAGGATGATTATTCAGACGGGGGATCTCTCAGGTGGTGTAGGATAATAGATTCCATAGATATCTCTAACATTATGTTTCTCTTATCAATTCTACCAACCAACTAGTAAATCGTCAATGCACTATCAGTCCGTGCAATGAACTTTAGAGGTTGTAGATCGAGAAGAGTAACTAATGATATAATTGATCTCACGTAGTTGCCGCCACCTACCGATGTATTTCGCCAGCGTATCTGAGTACCGCTTGCGGATGATCGATTAGTAGGGTGTTGTTTATAATTATCATGTCTTGAATCAGGTAGCTCTTGAGCTGTCGGAGAGGGTGTTGGAGTTGGAATGTAGGGATGCTGGAGGGGAGGAGTAATATGTGATGCGGTAGGATTTTGAGCGTGTGGATGTTGACTCGATATATTCAAAGACGGTCCGGCATGCAAGTTCTCTACACTCCTCACATGTACGTATCTCTGTCCACCATTCACACCCTTTACATTAGAAGTGGAAGGTCCACCTCTTCTTTTCCCCACCTGCAACAATTCACTTCCTGGTGCAGGGACACCAGGCTGATACCCCCTAAATCCTTCCTCTCTATTTATCACCCTACCACCACTAATCATTTCATTATCAATCGCATCTTCCAGCATATAATCATCCTCATCCTCATCCTTGACCCATCTAGGCCCTACACCTACTTGCACAAGACTCTTTCTACGAACAATTCGTACACCAGTGTTATCAACTTGGTCTGCAAGATCTGATAGATCATCTTCCTCGCCGGCTGAAAATGTTACCTTCTGACGTTTTGATGGGGGTGGAGATAATTGCGCATTTGGTGTGGCCCCAGGAAGAGTGTTCCGACGGACATATCGGCGTTTCTTGCGTTTGCTGTTGGCACGTTTTATTAATTTGAGAACCAAGTCAGAGTCGTCTGACTCATTGTCTTCTGGGTCTTCGTAACCAGTCGGGTTTTGAGAGGGGTGGGCGTAGTAATCATTTGGTTTTGATAAGACGTAGTCGAAAAATGCGTCCAAGTGGATGCTTCGCATCCATTTCTAAAAAAAATTACATAAGGAAAAGGGGTTTAAGGGGGGGAAATATAAGTTAGTACTGGAAATTGCTTATTGTATTACTAGCTTTTTTAATTACTATTATTAGCTGTTTATATAGATTAGTTTCGATTGTTACTGTTACACATTCAACAATGAAAGTGACACAAGACAAGCCGATCACTCCGAGACAAACCTTCAATCTCACTGCATACTGTTGTATCTTCTGGGGACTCGACTCTTCGTTTCTCTCAACACCCAGTTGTTGAGCCAACTTGGTCCACGTCTTAATCTCTCCAGATTCATGTTTGGCAACTAGCTGGTATAAATGCCATGGTGAAAATTGTTTTCCATCCGACTTTGGTACGGCGAAGAATGCTCTGAGTAGGGATGTCATGTCAGTCTCCAATGGTGCAGCTGGATTACAATAAAAGACGAATTCGATGTATCGTTGAGCAATATTTGCTTCTGTTATGGTGCGTTCAGGGAGAGAGCGAGAAGTGGGTTTGGTGTATGTGGGAAGAGAAGAATTCGAAGGGTTTGTGGGTGAAGCTGGAGCTGGCTGATGAGTCGGGTTGGATGTGGGAGACATGGGTGGAGAATGAGCCGTTTCGTGAGGACTCGAGTTATCAGCGGAGGGTAGGGATATCGGATTTGTGTCTGCTGCATCTGTAGGAGATGCATTTTCAATAGTTGTATTAATAACGCTAGCATCGGTAACGGTAGCAATGGTTGTTATTTCTTCATTCGTTGTTGTTATAGTTGGTTCGTTTACTTGTGGTGACGTATCTGCTATCTGTGTGGTTTCTATTTGTTTTTCCGACTCTAATTTATGAGTAGCTAAGGGTAATTGCGTCTGAGAAGGCATGTTTGTAGGGTTAAGTAATAATGATTTTTAATAACCTATTTGGTTGTTTTTGACTTTATATAAATTTCTGTTATGTGTAAGGATTGCCGTGTGGCACATTCACAGCCCACCCAAACAAAGAACCCGATTGAAGATAATGGAAGATGTAAATAGTGATACAAAAACCCTTAAGATAATACATAGTCAATGCATAAATAACTATTATCAACTATTATACTGTTTATATTACATGTGAACTATATTAGCCAACAATTCATATACGGGGTTTGGCTGATGGGGTGTGGAGAAGTGGAGAATGAACTATGAGCGCGGGGGATGCATACGAAAGCCTGCAACTGGCATTAAGTAAACGGCCAAGGATTAGGTTACATAATATTATACTAATGGTACTCAGTTACCTCAGTTACCATGTAAGTTGCAATGTATAGAAAAGCTTAGACAGGTCCATTCTACTATTTAGGTATGAAAATAGGTACAGGGCCGAGAGGCTGACCAATTGCTACTACGGGTTATTTGTCTTATAAATAGTATTTCGTAACTCATGACGATTGTAATAGTATCGGTAAAGTGCTATACAGTAAAAGATGCATAGCAAACTACTATAACCACAAGCCGAGAGAATACCAATTTTTCTCCATATGATTTCATTTGTCATCATCGTCATTGTTTACCCCAAAATAAAACGTCTTTTTGTCTACATCACAGTACTGTCGCCTAGTTGAATTCTGCTATCCCCTTTATCTTGTCCTGTCCAATGAAGCATCAATTTCTGAAACGTTAGCAGACAAGGAATTAACACACTTATGGCCGAAGGGAATAGTAATACAATTTGTTTAAGAAGTATATGGGTGTATAGATAAGATTGTAAATAATAGAAGATGTTTGTTATACACTCGCGATATATACGTTTAACATAATTGAATCAATCAAAAGTTGAGTATTGTTGATTGATCGATTGTTTATCAATTTATGTTAATACAGTATAATTACTGATTACGTATATATTAGCATTATTCATCTCTCGGATTATACCGTAGGCTGAATGTGAAACTGTGTGATGTTACACGCAGTCAATATAGCTCTGACAACAGGCAATTGGATACGCATGATGACGCTTTGTACTACCCTTTGACGTGACGCACCGTCTTAGAGGTTTCATATCGCTGTAAAATGATACTTCGGCTCTACTCCTGTATTTTTTTCACCGTGGCCGAATCTGGTAAGTTCAAAGCTTATTTCTGTAAGTTGAGTCACTCCGATTATGATACAGTCCTTTGGTTTTACTTTCGTCGCCCGCTTACGGACAGATCGAAGTGCAGGCATGTGATAACGTAAGTGCAGCAATACAAGGACTCGGTGTCATTGTGAAATAAAATGGTACAAAAAAGTGAATACGTTAGAAATAATTGTAGCAACACTAAACAATGGACCGAATATTAAACAATGCACAATGGAAACACGGGACAATGGGCGCCTATATACAATGACGACAATAGAGCAATGCAAACAAAGAATAAAGGGCAAATAAAGCCTATGTCAGAGCAAAGTTATAATGAATTGGGTCTGTTGTTCACCCCTAAAACTATTAATTGTTATTAACCCTATGTTCAAATAATTAAATTTAGAATGTAATAGTAAATGAATAAACAAACAAATAAACGACCGTCATAAATAAATAAATAAAAAGCAAATAAATAAAATGTATATATCTAATGCATTGGCAGCAATAAAGTTTACGTGAGTGTTGCAAATTCACCTGCATAATTTTGATTACATTTATTGCGCCTTACGCGTGTATTCCACTCTTTTCCAAACATTTACTCATGATAGAATCCACTATTTTCGATTTTGATGCTGTACAGATGTGCGCCCAAACGCATAACACCAACTACATCAGGTTTTTTTTTTCTTAGTTAAAAACGATAGAGTAACAAAGAACAAGAATAAATGGTAGTTGGCGCAATAACAGGTGGTGATATACGTCCTATTTGAGAACATTTACAATACTATTGCTATTGTGTGTGTGTAATCATGGTCGCTTATTGATGGCATGGATACTGTAATCGCTCCGTATGTTGCAGCATTTGTTCAACACTGAATTACTATCGATATGGTTACATACTTATCAATGTGAAAAAAAAATGCATGGCGTTGACGTTGCTCTGGTTCGACTCCTTAATAAACTCTCATTCAAAAACATTTATGCATTCTTTTTTTATAATTATTCCTTTTTGGTTTAGATATCCCTAATAGTGTATTTTTTTTCGTGAGGATAGTAATTATAACAAACACTGTGAGAAGATTATTTGCCATTGGTGCACTACTGCGAGGTGGTAAAAAAAAATGAGGCTGGTCAAAGTCCTAATATTTATATAGAATGGGTACAATATGAATAATTGCACCATTTAATCAAAACTTGCTTTAATAAAGTTCATTCACATATAAATTCTTCTTTATTTATACAGCTGTATTGACACTCTGCATATTTATTGTTTAAATGTGGCGTTGCTATTTCTTATGTACAATAATATACATATTAATTCTCACCCTTATATCTCACCATAATAATTTGATTAGATAAGTTTTGTTACGCAGGCTTTGAATGTAACCTTATGTATCTGAATGACCTGCTTATTCAGGCTTCTGTGTTGAGCTTAACTATACAAGTCTACGTTTCATATGTCTCGTACAATTTTATTTTTGATTTAACGTGACATATGATTTAAAATTTTAATATACTAATATCTGGTTAATCAGTACATTAACTACGCACAAAGAACATACATAATAACTTGTTTAAAAATGCATTTCATTAATAAATTTACTATAAAATCTGCTCTCCAATATTTTCACTAGCAAGCTTACGGCTTCGTTCTATTCAATTTGCAAGAACTACACTCACCTGCCAAAATTATTTCCGGACCGGCAAAATTTACAATTAAAACATATGAAATTTGAATGTCTTTTTTCACAAAATACGATCAATTGGCTTCAAAGTCATGTAAAATTTATTGGTAGTCTTCTATAAAAATGTGGTTGGAAAAAGACTTTGGAAAATATCAAATTTTATATGTTTTAATAGTAGATTTTGCCGATCCCGGAAATAATTTTGGCAGGTGAGTGTAATTGGAGTTGATTCCGGTAAATTTTCACTTATCAGCACACGTTGCTTTAGTTCGGACAAAACTTTGGCGGACGTCTTTCTACTTACTCTTAGCTATACTTACAATTTCAATCGGGCTCAATTAGCGGGCCAGTCATGGACATTTTCCTGAAAAAATAACTTGACTAGATGGCTCGTATGCTTCAGATCGTTCCCCGATCGAAACCGCCAATTTTTTTCTTTTAATTTCAGAAATACCATCTTTCAAAATGTTAACATAAAGTTGATGCGCTATTATGTTTGCAAAGCAGAAAGCCACGGTATTTCTCGTGTACAATATTTCTTTAACAAACCTAATATTTATTATATTAGTGACCATCACTGTCCGCTACCTTATTCAACTGAGTTCAAAGTATCCGTCATCCGAGCTCTATCCCATTGATTGTGTCTACTAATAGTTCACAATCGACGCCAAGTAAATAAATATATGAAAGTTTACTATGCCATTAGTTTACGTATTCCAGACCTTTTCGCGTCAATTTCATTGATACCGGATACTTCTTGACATCTATATAGCAATGGGGTGTGTGGTAAGCATAGAAGGGAACAAACACGTGACGTGAATTGCGCGCAAAACTTTTATTATAGTCAGTATAATTGTCCAGGTGCAATTGCTACTAGAATGTTAAGTTATATTTATAACAAACAGCTACAATTCTGTCGGATATTCTTAATTAGGTTTGTTTCTATTTCTTCTGTTCACATTTACTGAGCTGGAAAAAACCAAGACCTGCTAATAAGAAACTTTAATCTGTAAGCTTATTATATTTAGAACATCATAATTTATGTTACATTATAGTACATCTGTATGACAACTTCATCGACTGGTCCATTCATAATTGGTATTAAGTGCTTGTTCTTGTTTATTCTCCAAACACGCTGTCAAGAAAGTTATACAACTGTTTAAAATATCTACTGTTAAATAAGGTAGTAATAAAAATCGTAAGCTGTCATAATGTTGATTTCGACAATATCCGGAATACTGTAAAACTCTGCCAACGTAATTTTACGCAAATCATATAATTTGAGAAGCTTTTGAGTTTTAAACTTAGCGGGCAGCAAACCTTGAACATCGTTATTCGCGAATTGGATGACCCACAAAATAGTGGCTACGAAAATCTTTACCGAAGTTGGAAATTTCGATTGTGTTTCTCTAAAAGTTAATATTCACAGGATCATGCGCTCTCAAAATTTCTATTGGACAAGTTGCGTTCACGAGCTTGAATTAAGCAAACTGTTAATATTAATTGGTCTGAATAGTTTTTATACGGATAATACTGCACTTTCTTAATGGCTGACGCAAACATAATCTATTATCTTATTTCTTAGTTCGATAAATGTGTTGTCTAAACTGTGCTCTGTTAAAAATAACGCTCACTATTCCCAGATGAAACGAAAAGTCATAATTGCGAAAGTGTAACTTAAGATTGGTAAGTACCAATAGTATTTTTGTACCAAATAATTTTCGCACTTTATAATACCACGAATTTATATAGTGGACGTAAAAAATCGAGCAATGTCTATTATTCTATTAAACCATTTAAGCTTATCCGGAAGCGAGGTCGAAGATCTTGCATTGATGTTGCTTGAGCTTTATAGCAATTACCGCTAACATAAAACGTATGCGTGATATAATATTATCAGTAATCTTTCCATAATAAATGTTGTGTCTGAGTTTGAGACCTGTCTCAGTTCAGAACCCAAACACTCAGTTCAGAACTCAGTTATCTCGGTCCATAACTGAGACAGGTCCCCAACTGAGAACATAAATAACAGAGGGGGTTTGCGCAATGCCAAAATTTAGCGGCGAAAAAACATCATTGCCGTTTCCAGATAA